AAAAGCCTCTCCTCTTCACTTATTTATCTCACATTTCAGACAATAAATTGTTCATTTGGTTTTCATTAAAGAAAAGTTTGCAAGGAAAATTAAATTGAAAACTGTGAGAATGTTTAATTTAGCATAAATCTAAATAAATATTCCTTAAAATATGCCCCTTGCATTTTTTTTAAAAAAAGGATATTTAAAAGATCAAGGAACTATCATTTCTCACACACCTAAATCTTTTGCCTTCCTGTCCTGATCAGAAGTAAATCTAGATGTTCCTTTTATCCTGCAACTGCCCTGCCTGGTTCAAAATAATTCTGGAAAACAGAATTATTAAGAAAGTTTATTGTTTGTTTCTTCTTTTAGAGATAGCTGAAGTGAAAAGTTGGTTAATGTGTCCCTAATGTTTGTGTACTGAAAATCTGGAACAGTGGCTGTTGAACTTTACCCGGTTTGTTTTCAACTTGTATTTTCTTGTCTTTTCCCAGAGGAGGAAAAATTAGTTGCCAGACCTCTTCCTGGAAACTCCTAGTGCATGCCAAGATTTACTGCAGCCTACTCTTTTTCTTAAACAAAAACTCAAAATCACTACTAGGAGCATATAACTGTAGAATGCAGTTCTACAATGCAGTTTAATGCAATGAAAAACTTTTCTTTCGCATGTTCTCCAACCTTTCCTTGAACCCGCCCCAATATCTGTTTTTAGCCACATCCTCATGATGTTGCTTTTGTCTGATCCTCAACACCCAGCTAAAGCAGCTGAAAGAGAATTCAGCTAAAAGCCCCCAACCAGTGGTAGGCTGCAACTGGTTTAGCAACTGGTTCTGTGAGCACGTGCTTCAGTTGAAGAAGCTTCTTGGATGAGAAGCAAAACATCTTCAAAGAAAAAACAAAAAGTCCAGTTGCCTTTTGAAAAAGCATTTTTGGAGCATGCAAAGATGGTTTTTTAATTCTATATCCTGTGGCCCTAATGACTCACTCGTGTTTATTTGCTTCAGCTTCTGCCAATTAGCTTGTTGGTGGTTTGGTTGCTGCTCTGTTGCTGTAGAAACCTGCCTAATATTTCCTGTTTCAGAGGAGAATACAATGTAGTTAATGATAATAATCTATATATATCAAAGCAAAATACCACTCATGCATCATCACAAAATCTCCAGAACCATAAAGCCTACAAACTTGAAATTTGACACGTATGTTCCTCTTGGCTTCTAGGTGCTCACTAGGAAGGGATTTTTCAAAATGACTCTCAGAGCATTAGTATTTCTTTATTACCATAGCAAACCTGGCTTTGATCATCTATTAACTGTGATATTTTCCTTGATTCTTTCTCCTTTCTCAATTTGTATGCTAACCATCTACCTGGTTTATTTGCATCTTCAAAATAGTTGTTTAGCACTTCTAATTTTCTGTGCCAATTCTTCTATTTGGCCCATTTTATGTTTGTCCAATTTTAGTTTAATGTCTTTTTTCTGTGGCATTTTCTGTAGTTCTTTTGCAAGTCTTTTATACTCATCTTCTAAAACTTTAGTGACTTGCCTTTTCCTGATATTCTTTTTTCTTATATAGTTTATTATCAAGCTTCTAGCATATGCCTTCATTGTGTCCCAGACATTCTGAATTGAAGTATCTTCCCTTTTATTTTCTCTAAAGAAAAAGGCCAATTCTTTCTCTATCCATTGTGTAAAATCTTTTTTCCTTTAAAATAGTATTATTTAACATCCATCTCAATCTTTTTTTTTTGTTCTTTCCATTTAATTGTCATTGGATTATGGTCTGCCCAAGTACTTGTTTCAATGTTTGTTTCTTGAACGTTAGATATTAGTTCTGTTGAGATCCATATCATATCTAATCTGGACCATGATAAATGTCTATTTGAATAAAAAGTATATTGCTTGGTTTTAGCATTTCTTTCTCTCCATATATCTTTTAAATTTATTTCATCTGTCATTTTAAAAAAGGATTTAGGGAAAGTCTTTCTGTTTTGCTTTGTTATTGTTGCTGTATAGTCCAGTTTATTGTCCACAATTCCATTAAAATCTCCCATCATAACTATATTGACATAGTCCAGTCCAATTATTTTCATGTGCAATTTTTGGTAGAATTCTTCTTGTTTATCATTCAGAGCATAAATTGCAATCAGGAGTATTTTCATATTATTATCCATTATTTCCACCATTAATACTCTTCCATCTTCATCAGTATAAATCAATTTTGGTGGGATAGCCTCTTTAATGTATAAAACCACGCCTCTTTTCTTACGAGTCAAAGAAGTAAATATTTTCCCTAATTTTGGCTGTACCAACAATTGTTCATATTGTTTTTTGATATGTACTTCTTGTAAGCAAATTATATCAAATTTTAATTTCTCTAATTTGTGAAAAATGTTCCTTCTTTTAACAGTTGAATTAAGTCCATTTATATTCATTGTAACCAGTTTTTTCTCTTCCATGGTTATATCTTGTAATTAGGTTTGGCAGCTCTCGTAGATCTTGGTTCATGTTGTTCTTTCTCCACCTGTCCACCTACTGCACCTTCCTCTTTTTCAGTCCCCATTTGATCCTCTTGGAATTCAATTAGTGAGACCTCTTTTTCTGCCTCTTCCTCTCTCCTTCCAAAAAATTCTGCATAGAAAAGTTCTGCTTTCTCAATTGAATCAATTCTATGTCTCTGTTCTTGCCATGTAAACATTAGTCCTTCTGGAATCAACCGTCTGTAATTCACCTCCTTTTTCAATAACATTTTAGTCAGGAATCGATATTCTCTTCTCATCTCTCTCACTCTCCTAGGTATTTGTTTTAAGACCAAAATCTCCTTGCCCTTATATTTCAACGTCTTCTCTCTTGCCACTTGTAAAACAGAGCATTAGTATTTCTTATATTATTATTCAGATGCTCTGATGCTAAGGAGTTTTACTCCCCCCTCCCCACCCGAAAAGAAATCTGTTCCAACTGCAGTTCAGCTAAGCCACGCCCAGACTCCTTGCTGTCTCCTTCTTGCTCACACAGCAAATACTGTTTCAGTTTCTAAACAGCTGCCAACTCTCTCCCAACCTGAAAAGAAATCTGTTCCAACTGCAGTTCAGCTAAGCCACACCCAGGCTCCTTGCTGTCTTCTTCTTGCTCACATAGCAAATACTGTTTCAGTTTCCAAACAGCCCTCAACTCTCTCACACACTGACAGGATGCTAGCCAGATGAATACCAATGGATGCTGGCAGGCAGAGGCAGCATTCCCCCCACCCTATTTTCCTCCCCCAAAACTTACCCAATCACATAGTTTTGTAGCGAAGCACGGGTACTCTGCTAGTAAAGGATATGAGGAAAGTCTTCAGGTTGAAATCAAGTTTTAGTGACTTTGTGGAAGCCAACATAGCTTTTTTTGTTGACAGAATACAAAGTAGGTTTGACATAATCTTCTTTTGGGATGTATTTTTGAGTGTGTGTGTGTTAAAGTTGTATATACAGAAAAATGTAAAAAGGCTTCTGTTTAAATTCAGTTATTTTTGTAGCAGCACTTAAAACTCTTTACTGAGGCTGTCTGGTACATGGATGAAATATTTATTCACCACCCTATCTTATACTTTCCACAATCATCAAAATGGGACTATAAAGTGCATTTTCTATGTTAGTCTTTTGTAATAAGATATCACTCCTTTTAAGAATAGTGTATATTGATGGCAAAGTTATTATGAAAACTGGCTTGAACTCTCTGTAAGATACTGGATTGTAATAGAAAACCTTAACATGTTAATTAGGCTATATTGTTGCGATTACTGAGAAAGGATATAAAGCCATTGAACATATATTATGCCACAATACAATACTCATGTTATAAATGCTCATAGGAAAATAACTGCAGAAGATGGAGATAATGAGCATCTAAAGAGAAAAGACAGCAAACCATTTAAGAGGAGGGAAGGGATAAATCAATAGCTTTGTGGAAGGAACTGTCAGTGGTGGGATTCAACATTTTTTACTACTGGTTCTGTGGGCATGGCTCCGTGGGTATGGTACCCACCCCACTAACTTGCTTTCCAGCTCCATTTTCCTGTGCAGGGCAACAAAAGAAGACCCAGCCGATCAACTGGGACTCAGGAGGTAGAGAATAGATGGGGGCAGGGCCAGACAAAGGTGGTATTTGCCAGTTCTCCAAAGTACTCAAAATTTCCGGTACCAGTTCTCCAGAACCTGCTGAATACTACCTCTGAATTGTGTTGATTATTAGAAGAAAAATCAGATAGTTATTATTAGATTGATGGCAGCTTGACTACTCTTCCACCCATACAGGAAGATAGCAAAACCATAAATAGATAAGATATTGATTATAGTTTCACATTTTTGGAAAGGAAATAAGTCTCTTTGCCTTAAGACGAGTGACTGGTATCTTTAATATTGATAGTAATCAGGTGAATTGATCTAAACGTAAGAGTAACCACAGGAGGCTATTGGTTAACCACAATAAGGGACAAGGGCCTGTTCCACATTGCTAAGCCACGTATTGCGATGATTGGCTTTTTTAGACAGATAAAATCACAGACCAGGAAATCATACATTCCAACGTAAATAAATGTTAAGGTCCCACTTTGATTAGCAAATATTGGTTTATGTGTTCCTAGCACATTGCCTGATCTATGACCATAGTTAAATCTGTGCGCAAAATAACTTAATTTTCAGGGCCAGATTTGATTTGATTTGTCAATCACAAGATAATAGGTATAAGTATAAACATAGTTATGAATACGTGAAATGGTTACATATAAGAAAAATAAAAAGAAACAATAGGACAGAGACGTATTAACTATATGGACTTCTTCGTTGAGCCCACAGTGTTACGAAACTCATGCTGTTCTTAAGTAGAAATTCATCTTCAATATGAGGAGCCGCCAAACTCCGTCAGGACTCATTTTTCCTGAAAAATAGCCTGAAGAGCCAACTTTCGATTCCCCAACTGGAACCGCCTTCCCTGGCGTAAAGAAGGCGTAGTTTCCCGCTTGCTAGTTCTATACAGGCAAAATCGTTCAGCCCCACCTCCAGGCTATCAGAGCCTTGTGGTCGTCCGCTTCTTCTCCTTCGAAAAGATGGCGAACACCGTCCAGTTCTCCCACTCGCTGCAGGGCCAGGCAGGCTTGCCGAATTACCAGCAGCTGAAGGAGGACCATGATATGACAGTCCTCGAGGCTCACGGGGTGCCGGCTGGGGCTACCGTGATCCGCATGCACTCGCCGGAGGTCTATACAACACCGCCCAGCGACCATATCATTTGGTCCCTCTGCACCACCTTATACTGCAACGTTTTCTGCCTTGGGTTTTTGGCCTTGCTTTTTTCCGTTAAGGTGAGAAGACGCGCTGGCTATTTAGTGTGCATTTCCCGCTTCTCCGCCCTTCTCAGGGCATATTTTGAGAAAAACGAGGTTCCAATGGGACGCTTGCGTTTTAAAGTTTAACTGGCCTAAGAAACTCGATCCTAACTATCGGTACTCCGACCTTCGTGGGATTTCTAATTCGTGGGGTTCATTAAGGGCATTTATGAAAAGTACCTTTTCATTAACGCCGTTCGGCTGCGGACCGCCGGCCCGGATTCGCGAATTGATTTTCCTCCTTTAGAGCCTAAATCGCGCTTTGAAGGAAAGAAATCCTTTGCTGTGGCTGTGGTTGACTTGGTCCTCTTTAATATCTCTGTACAAGCAGAAAGCGTCCTTGAATTAGAGAACTAAAGCCGGGTAGCCCAGAGAAGGCAATCAACGGGGGTGCCCTATGCAATGTAAAGTGGAAATTCCGCATGAAAAAGGGGTCTTTCTCCCACCCCCGCCGTTTTTTGTTTTTGTTTTGTTTTGTTTTTTGCACTAAACCAGGCATTTAGAGTAAGGGTCTCCAACCTTGGCAACTTTTTTGTGGACTTCAATTCCAAGAATTCCTTCTGGGAGTTGAAGTCCACAAGTCTTAAAGTTGCCAAGGTTGGAGACTCCTGGTTTAGAGGATACTTTACTACTCTATAATTTCTTCTCATTGGCTGGATTTACAAATCATCAGTCATATTTTATCCTAATAAGTTATGTAAACCCAGCCTAAAGGCTTGTCACCTGAAAACTTAAAAGTTTGATTGAGCAACTGTGTATATCCATTGAGCAACTTTGTATATCCATTGTGCATGGTGCACCATTTCTCATTTTGAAGGGGGAGTTGTTTTCCCACTTCTATAAGATATTTTTATTTAAGTTTATCCCATCTTTTTAGTTGAGGCAGTGAAAGTACCTAATACTCCTTTCTCCTATTTTCTCCACAACCCTCTTGTGAGGAAGATTGGGCTGAGAGGGACAGAGGGACTGCCACCCAGCTGGCTTTGACGCCTAAGGCAGGACTGCTACTCAGTCTCCTGGTTTCTAGCCTGGTGCTGTGCTTGAACATGCATGTTTATTACTTCATGACTCAATATTTCATGGGATGGCAAATGATGTCCTTCAAAAGAATGATCTGGGTAGTGATATGAAGATAGTGTTTTGATACACCCTGTGGCACTTAACACCTGAGACTGCATTTGTTAAGCAATGCATTGGCAGGTATGAAGCAGCGTTAATCTTGAAAGAATTAAGGAATGAAAGTATCTGAGTAGCATATTACACATTCTGCCATCTGGTACTGTTTTTACAAACAAGAGAGAGCTGGCTAAGTTTACCTCATGTATTGGCAGCTGAATGTTATGTGAACGTGGCTAGTTATGATTTATTCAGTAATCTATGATGAAACAAATCCTGACTTAATATTGAGAAGCAAGAGTTTTAAAATGCAATGGGTGGAAAGAGGAACTTCACTTCAAAGGGAGTAATCCTATTCTTAGGGCTGCAACTGAATGCAGTGCTCAGTTGAAATCAAAATTAAGCTATAATTCACCTACACCTGTGGAAACTTATATAGAAGTGCAATGAAAAATGTATGTTCTTAAAGAGATCTTGGTATGAACAGCATCTTCTATGATGCTTCTTTGAATTTCTTGATTTCTAAATTTGCTACTCTTCTCAGTGTAGACAATAATCCAGATTACTGCAGACAGGAGTGGGTCTCCCGCACCAAGTTCTCCCGCACCAAGTTCTCCTCTGTTGCAGGGCTCCAAAAGGAGCTAAAGCCACTCTGTAGAGATGGTGAAGAAAAGAGGGGTGCCTTGTAGGTCACGGAGAGCCACAACTCTTCCACTTGACTCAGGACTCCTTCCCTCTCATCCACGACGAGGAGAAGAGGCAGTCATCATGGCTGTTGTGAAGCTGGGACAGCCAAGGCAACAAAGAAAATGCAGGAACAGTGTAGATGGACAGCAGAGCTAGGTGAAAAGATTCCTTTTTTATTTAGACCCTAAATTTAAAAGGAAAAAAGAAGAAAATCCAGGAAGAGACTCTTAAACACTTTTTGCTAAAGCGGTGAGAAAAATACAGAGAAAAATCCTTAAACCTGAAAGAAAGGAACTAGGGGGAGAAAAGCTAAAAACTTTTTAAAACATAAAAAATTGGACTTTCAAACTGGGTAGGGGTTGTTTTGGAAAGGCATTTTAAAATGCTGGAGCCATCTATTTGAATAATTGACTTTGCTTCTATAAATTGAATTAAAATTGGATTAAATAACTTGTTTCTGATAAGAGAAATAAACAATATTCATCTGGAGGACTGTTATAATACCTACTGTTCTATACTTATTTACTTTATGATCACTGGAAACTCAGTGGTAGGAATAAGAAGACTCTTAAATAAAGTAAAGTGATTTGACTTTTGGAAAGCTTCCTGGACTATGTAAATGGAACTGATTCAATAATCCTGGAATATAAAGAACTATGAGTATTGTACTTTCTGGGGAGCAATATTAGGCTTGAATAAATTGTTTTTGGACCACTGAGTAAGATGCTCCATCAGCGGAAATAAGTGAAATTTTTTAAAAAATGGCGTTGATGTTCCAAAGCATTAAGGATACGATATTGAAGAATCATAGGGAGATAAAGAACCTATTGCATGGCATAAATGGGAAAATAGAAAATACCCTGCAACTGATAAAGAAGACCAAAAATTCCAGGAAAGAGAGGAGACAACAGAAAAAATGGAGGAAAAGATAGAACAGACAATCGGCCAATAAAGCAAGAAGATGAGAAGAAGACAATAAAGATAATAATGACTGATGAAATAAACCAAGGGGAAAGTAAGAGATTTAAAAATGGAATCGGATAAGCAGGAAGTTACTTCTGAAAGGGAGATAGGGGCTTGGGTAGATACTCTGGAGGCCTGGCAGCATAGGAGGATAGAGATGGGAGAAATATTTAGACTAAACAGTGAAGACATAAATGTAGATAGAGACAAGGATCCAAGACAGGAATATGGGAGGCAATTTAAACAAACAAGAGATGATGGATAGAAAGGCCTTTTTTTTTAATATGATGGTCTGATTAAAAAGTAGAGGTAGAAATAAGAATGCACACTCTTATATAAGATTAGAGGTTGAAAGATGGTATTATGTATGTTTAAACAATATGATGATTGATACTAGATGGCACATTGAAACATTGAATAATTAAATAATAAAGGACTATGTCTTAATATAAATGTGTATATTAACACTAGGATTAGACTAGAAGCCAAAATAGAGCTAGAAATAAGAAATAGGGGGAATATTAGCGCATGTGTATGTATGTATGTATGTATGTATGTATGTATATATGTGTGTGTGTGTGTGTGTGTGTGTGTGTGTGTGTGTTCGTCTCCTAGAAACCATAGTTCAGGTAACGAACAATATTGCAAGTTTCAGCCATATTTGTTCTGTATAGCTCATCTTTGCAAGTGAGATGTTTGGCCTGTTCTCAGTTCTCCTGATTACATCAACATGGTATTCATGCATGCATTTCTGCTGTTTTGCAGAGAATATTTTCTGTTTAGTTTGGTGCCATAATTGAAACTCAGGAGACTGGCAATAGTTCTTCTGTGGGTTGCTTCTAGTAATGGATCTTTTCTTTGTTCTCTCCTAATAGTCCAGAGATCGCAAAGTGATTGGGGACTACAATAGTGCTGCCAGCTACGGATCTACTGCCAAGTGCCTGAACCTTATTGCCCTCCTGCTGAACATCCTGGTTGTTGTTGCTATCATCGTCATTATTGTACTATTGTACTCTGGTGTCCAACCTCACTGAAACATGCACTAGCGTAATTTCCTTTTGAAAACTACCCACCTTCTGTCCTTGATACAAGAGCTTCTGCTCCTATATCTTGGTGGTTGACCTTCTCCCTTCACCCCTAATCCTAATGTGTTGTCGTCCTGAAAACAGCCCTTGCTTTGAGAAACTAGTAATGTACAGCAATTGAAACAATGGCTCTCTTGCCATTGCCAAGTTGGAAGTGGCCAAGGGTCCACCTCAAGAGCTGGAATGTATAATTGAATTACTTATATGTGATTTCAGGCTGTTTCTTAAATATTACACATGGCTTTGCTGCCTCTTTGGCATTCCTAGCTTATTTTTCTACTGGTTATTCTCAGGTAGCCTTTTCTTCTATTGAATGTTACTGATCTGGAGGGACCATGGTGTAACCTGAGGGAAAGCATCACTCTGTGCTGTTTTTTTGTACTGTTCTATGACTTTTGTAATAGAAAATGCCTTTAGAGATTGTTGTATTACATTCTAAGATAATTATTCATTTTTTTCAAATAAATTGTATGGGCTTGATCATGTTTGAAGGGTTTTTAAGGAGCTACAACCCATCACAGTGAAAGTGAGCTTACAAAATGGGCCTCTCCTATAAGACTGGTGTTAACCTGAAGTACCTGCACCTTGTGTGTTCCAGCTACCATCTGATGGCATTTCCATAGTATCTTGGAGATGACTTATAAGTAGCCATTCCCCCTATACCTTATAAGACACAACAGCCATTAAAAAAATCATTTTTTCCCCCATCCTGGCTTCTCCCAGGCAAACACTATTCAGGAAGGGATTATAAGGGATTGATGGGGTAACGGTCACAATTTATCACTTTAGACATTGATCCACACCAAGTATCTTTGTCTCAGAGATACCTTGCCGTGGCAAATGTATACAGTGCTTATACCATGGAAATCAATTTAAAAGGCACTGTGATATCTGTGCAAACACATTTGTCCCAGAGGCCATACCTACATGCATTACTAAAGAAGTGTTCACTTGAAAGAATTAAATCTGAAGAAATTTTGGGGGCTGCAGGTAGACGGCTACTGTACAACATTTTTACTCTCCGAAACTGACTTCTTGCAGATTTTCTGGAAAATCTGGGCAGTGATCCATTGACAATTATCTAGCTCTGGACTTAACAAATCACAGAATTGTTTGAAACAGACTTGGAGGCTAATTTTAGGACTGGACATTCCAGTGCATTCTGTCAGAACTCTAGGGTAGTAGGCTGTGTAAGCTGGTCTACCTTCTCCAGTCACAAAGAGCCTAAGAAAAAGAGGGCATGGGATGTTGTTACACAGAAATTTACAGGGCACAGTGATCAGTTCTGCACTTGGGACTGGTGAAAAAAATATGATAACTCAAAGTAGAATAATAAACAGTCTTCTAATAAGCCTACATAGTCCTAATTCTTCATTCAACATTTCATACTGCTGGACTTGCAATCCTGGATAGCTTACCAGAGCAAGCATGAAGCAAGCATGGAAAAGACTTGCTTATAAGAGGACTTTGTAGCAGGCAGTCCTTTTTCCCTAAAGATAATAGCTTTCTGGATTGGTGCTTTATGGAATCTTAACCGAAGTCACCATTATTACAATATGTCCATACAGCCCTTTTATTTCACATTGGATCTTTCCTTGATGGAAAAATTGAGTGATGTTAATGTCGAGGAATTCACTGTTTGCTTCAAAGCATATCTGCTGTGTAAAAAGAAGACAGCTTCCTCACATGTCTCAAAAATGTAATATGCAGAAATCCAAACACAAGTTGTCCTTTGTAGATGTTTTCCATTCGTTCTCATTCACGCACTAATTAGCGAAGGGACTGTATGGTTTGTTCATTTCAGGAGAAAAGTGATTGGTGGCATTCCAGACATGGACTGGGAGAGACATACTGTTTGTTCAGAGTTGCTTCACACAAGCTAGTCAGAATCTTATGGATTGCATCATTATAGCAAACAAAACCACTGAAGACTAAATCATAGCAGATGAGGAATTTCACACTGCTTCTCAAATGCTTTTATAGTGACATGTTCATCTGGAAGACCAAGAACCAAGTGAAAAACCATATTATTATCTGTAGATCTTGCAGAATATTCTTCATAGTTATGTAATGAAATGTCCACAGTCAATTAATTAAACTCTTAGTTGAAACTGAGCTAAGCTTCCCTGTATCTTTTTCCCAGTATTTGACAGTCATCAATTGGCAGCCGATATGAAGGATAGTGTACCACAGTTACCAAAAGTTAAACTTTAATTAGATTTTCAGCCAAAGAAGACACGTTGACCTCTCTTCTGCAGGGAAAATATATGATGCAAGACGGGACATATGATTGCTAGTATAGATTGTTTCTTCACAGTTGGGGACAAGATTCTTTCGCAATGGCTTCTACGTTCCCTTTTAATTATGAACTTTCAATCTCTTGTTTTCTTTTGCTTTGCATTACTTATGAGATGTAACGTTTATCAGTTGGGATAATTTCACTGTCAGAATATACTATCTCACTAAAACTCAAGATGATGAAAACTCGTTATCTATGCTATTGGCAGATAAAAAGGTTATTGTGAGCTCTGATGGTAAGGACAAATAAATACCCTGTACTTACTATAAAAGTGTTCAGTTTTCCACATCTACTACTATATACATCCAAAGTTTCTGGACATCTAAAGTTTGCTGCAGTTTTCCTTATATCAAATGATCTCTAACCTGCTCACCAAATCTGTGAGAAGAAGGGGAGATGGCAGATCCATTCCAGTTTGTCCTTTCCAAATCATGAGAGAACAAGAAATCAAAATAATTCACTTTTATTTTCAAGGGAGAAGGAAAGAGTTAATTCTTCTGGATCTCTCAAGAGCATTTGATGCCTTTATCTGGGTTCAAACAAAACTCTAAAACAAACTGACTATTTATAGATGAGTATGTTATGCAGATCCAGCCAGTAAGATTAGTTTATGCATCAATATCTGATCTAGACCTGGCTAATTGGTTGATTCAATAAACCATGGCTAATCAGTCATGGACTAGTGTGGTGTAGAACATAACCACATATCTTCTGGATATGTTATTTGGATTTTGGTAATTCAACAATTCCCATAGCTAAAAGGAGACCCTGGGTTTCTTAAAGACCCAGTTTCAAATCTCTCCTGAGCTATGGAAACTCCCTGCCCTCCAGGCTGACTGTGGGCCAATTACTTCCTCTCGGCTCACCATAACTTTCAACAATATTATTGTGAGGAAAAAATAATTTACAATATTATGGTAAATCTATTTTTCAAACAAGGAAGGTTGGTAAAACATGTTAACATCTACATTATGAAAACAGTAACTGGAGAGAATTTCTCTCTTATTTGGCTAGGAAGACATATAACAAAAGGAGAATTTTCTCTCACAATTGTGGCCATCAACTTGAACAGATTTATTAAAGGATTGGATATGAGAAACAAATCTGCATTCTCTTAATTTCAACTGTTTGAAGCATAATTTTCATTAGGCCTATTTCAATACTGTTATACCTACCCAATACTGGAGTGTGCATAAGCGCACCAACATGCCTACCCTCCCTGTCTTACTGTCCCCATTTATCTGTATTTACTCCCTTTGTTCTTGTTTACATTCATACTTATACTTGTTATATTTTACACGTTTGACAAACAAATAAATAAAATAAAATAAACTGTTCCATTGAGTTAAAGAGGTTTACTGTCAGTTAAACTATATATACCCCACTTGATAAACGTGCAAGAAAGAGACCTAGAACAAGATGGATCAACGACATCAGCGTGAGAAAATTTATGGGATAAATTCAAACTAAAAGATAAGAAGTATGACACGCTTTGTGATTGTATAAATATGAATTAATTATAGCAAAACAAATTGCATGGGTCAAATATAGAACCCTAATCAACTGTATCAGAGGAAGCTTTGATTTCAAGGAATATGATGGTTTTAGTATTAAAGGCAACTGAAAGTACAATTTAAGGAGATATCTATTGCTATGGTCTGCTATTAGGCATAGTAAAAGCTCTGATACCCTGGGGCAAAGAGGAAGCCAAATACAGTACCAGATTTTTAACTGCTATATCTAAGACCATTTCATGTTTCCAAATGGACGTAATCCAAACCCCATCATCTATGCAAAAAACAGCAATCTCAGATTTGGTGTAAGTATCAATCCTGAGTATTTAAAAATACACATTTATCAGATCCAAGGCAGGTTTATTCAGCACAACAAAACTAGTATCTGTTCTCAAATGCAATAACTTGTCACAGCAAAATAAGGTGGCGGGTAATTAAATCCTCTAAATCATTCAATTTCTTTTTTAAAAGATTAAAAACTCCACATGTAGCTATTCTGGTAGCCTTGCAAGTATCTGAAGCTATCCATAATGAAAGTGGCACAGACAATATATGAAAAATCTTTTCAGTTTTCAAGGCATACCAAACGACAATTGTTGCTCTCTTTTATTTTCTAGGCTGGTGTTATGGAAACTCAAAGGAATGCAATGACAGGAAGTTTGAGATCAGCTTGTACAGCTGCTGCCAGTGCAATTTCTATGTAATAAAAAACCCTCAAAAAACAAAGGAGTTTTTATTTTCTAGCCTCTTGAAACCGACAGTCTCAGTCAAAAGCATACTACAGGACATTGTCATAAGTTCACACACAAAATAGTCTATTTTCTTTCTCAGATACAAAGAACAAGTGCAGTTTTGAACAATGAGAACTCTTAAGATTTAATGGTATGCACTATATTTATTTCTGCAGCCAAAGTTTCATTTATAAACCTCTGCTTCTGGGCTGAGCTTTCCAAGAGTCTACATCCCTTTCATTTTCGTTTAATATTTTAAACTCATGGTGCAGTTCTAACAAACTTTATACTGGGAATGGAATAAAGCAACTGGTAAATTCTCAGAACTCTCTCTGCCTTATACTTTTTCCAGGGCATGGGGAGGAAAATGTACTTTAGATTGAATACTGACTTCTTCAATCCAAAGCATTGCAAAAATGCTGCACATATCCCAATATCCATGTAAATATTGCCACGCTATCAATTGGAGACTTGAAAGCTAAATTTAGTCACTATAGGAAAGAACAGGCTTTCCAGAAAAGCTTTCTGTGAAATAATAGATTGTCATCTGAAGAGTCAGCTAGAGGCTTTCAAGCTGAATCCTCTAATGCAAGAAGGAAAGATTTAGTGTACTGGGCAACGAAAAATCCAGTTTTGGGGACAAGTTAGGACTGTAAAAATGGGGAAAGTTCCATTGAATCACAACGACATCAGTTTGTTTCATTATAAACATGCCAGAACAGCTTTAAAGCTGAGCTATAATCTGCATGAAACGCATCCAATGAAATTTACCGAAGTTTAATCGACTTTACCAGATTCCTGATTTTTCTCTCTTCTGTGTAGGCAGAATTCTGACTTAAAACCAAAAA